ACCTCAAGGATGTTAATTGTTGTTCCACCTCTACCACAAGTCGATAACGAGACAAAATCTATATCGAAAATCGGTTCCTGAACTAAAACTGAACTAGAACTGAACAAGAACTGAAGAACTGAACTAGAACTGAACTAGAACTGAACTAGAACTGAACTAGAACTGAACTAGAACTGAACTAGAACTGAACTAGAACTGAACTAGAACTGAACTAGAACTGAACTAGAACTGAACTAGAACTGAACTAGAACTGAACTAAAACTGAGCTAGAACTGAACTAGAACTGAATTAGAACTGAACTAGAACTGAACTAGAACTGAACTAGAACTGAACTAGAACTGAACTAGAACTGAACTAGAACTGAACTAGAACTGAACTAGAACTGAACTAGAACTGAACTAGAACTGAACTAGAACTGAACTAGAACTGAACTAGAACTGAACTAGAACTGAACTAGAACTGAACTAGAACTGAACTAGAACTGAACTAGAACTAGAACTAGAACTGAACTAGAACTGAACTAGAACTGAACTAGAATTGAACTAGAACTGAACTAGAGCTGAACTAGAACTGAACTAGAACTGAACTAGAACTGAACTAGAGCTGAACTAGAACTGAACTAGAACTGAACTAGAAACTGAACTAGAACTGAACTAGAACTGAACTAGAGCTGAACTAGAGCTGAACTAGAACTGAACTAGAACTGAACTAGAACTGAACTAGAACTGAACTAGAACTGAACTAGAACTGAACTAGAACTGAACTAGAACTGAACTAGAGCTGAACTAGAACTGAACTAGAACTGACTAGAACGACTAGAACTGAACTAGAACTGAACTAGAACTGAACTAGAACTGAACTAGAACTGAACTAGAACTGAACTAGAACTGAACTAGAGCTGAACTAGAGCTGAACTAGAACTGAACTAGAACTGAACTAGAACTGAACTAGAACTGAACTAGAACTGAACTAGAACTGAACTAGAACTGAACTAGAGCTGAACTAGAACTGAACTAGAACTGAACTAGAACTGAACTAGAACTGAACTAGAACTGAACTAGAACTGAACTAGAACTGAACTAGAACTGAACTAGAACTGAACTAGAACTGAACTAGAACTAGAACTGAACTAGAGCTGAACTAGAACTGAACTAGAACTGAACTAGAGCTGAACTAGAACTGAACTAGAACTGAAACTAGAACTGAACTAGAACTGAACTAGAACTGAACTAGAACTGAACTAGAACTGAACTAGAACTGAACTAGAACTGAACTAGAACTGAACTAGAACTGAACTTGAACTGAACTAGAACTGAACTAGAACTGAACTAGAATTGAACTAGAACTGGACTAGAACTGAACTAGAACTAAACTAGAGCTATACGAGAATTGAACTAGAACTGAACCAAAACCGAACTAGAACTGACATATAGGTGACGCGATTCTTAAGGAAATTTAAAGATTTTTAATTTGGGATTAGTGCTGTTTGGACTAATTACTCTTTAACTAAATTATATTAATTGAAAATCTTTTGATTTCATACTCACCTTCTTTTTCCTTCTGTATCTTTCTTATTGTCTTTTTACACTCATCCAGCTCGCGTGTCAAACGCTGTAAAGCCTTATTTTTAATAGCCAAATCTACACGCATACCACGTATAGTAGCCAAAAGATGAGCATCCTCTTTAGCGCTGGCAGCAGCCTGTGCTGCCGATAGGGAAATAGTAGAATCTGATTGTGAAATTGGCAATTTAGAAGCTACAGCAGAGGTCAAAGAACTGGCTGTAGCCATGGGTTTACGTATACCACTCTGTTTTGAATTGGGTCGTGAATTGTTCGGTGTCGAGTTGGCAGTACTACTAGTACTGGAACTGGCCGAATGTTGACTAGAAGTTCCAATAGTATTGGTACCACTTTCTCGAGTTGCCGATATAGTTTGGGTACTAATCGTTTTACGATTGTGGGTGCGTGAAAGTTTCGGTTCTGCGGGTAGAACTAGGGGGGCGGGAGCAGGAACTGGTATAGGGATTATAAAGGGTTCTTCGGTTTGTGTGCAATTGTTGTAGTAACGTTCAGCTTTCTTGGAAACGAAATAGTCCAAAGTGCGTACTTGTGACTCAATTTTTTCATTAAGTTTGGTGTTGATTTCCTGCAGACTGTCGGCAGAGGTTAAGTTAGTTTAGTTATTATAGAGGTGAGCAGAGTTATACAATTACCTTAACACTTGTGTTTCCAAATCGGCTATATGTGTCTCATATTTAGCTTGTACCGAATTAAAACGTGCTTGTACATTGGCAAGTATTTGTTGGGCTTTTAAGTCTTGTTCTTTGGCATCTGATTCTAATTGGGCAATGCGCTGCTCTAGTAACTTGCGACTGCTATGATTCTCTTGGTCATTGTGAGAACCACCACCGGATTTAGAAGCCACTAGGTAATGAAATATACCTCGTTAAAAAAGAATAATGATGTGATAAGGTTTTCCACAAACTTACCTATTAAAGCTGACACCGAATCTGGATGTTTGCGCATTAATATCCTTTCCATTTCCCTACATTGTCTCTGCAAGTCTTGTATGGTTTTAGCATCACGCTCTTTTTGCTCTTGAGCACGTTTCTTTTCAGCTCTTGTTTCTTCCAATTCATTTTGCAAAACCTTTTGCAAATCCAAAGCCTCATCACGATCATGACGCGCCGCCTGCAGTTCGGTTCTCAAAACATTTGCACACTCATTGAGATGTTGAACATCCAGCTTCAATATCTCCGATTCCTCCTGTAGCTGAGTATTACTCTCTCTTAGTTTACGATGCAATTGCGAGACCGTATCATGTTGTATACGAAACGATTCTAAACGTTCTTCTGTATCTTTGAGACGCTCTTGCAATTGTTCGATTTCCTGCTTAAGAGCATGTTCGCGTGTTACGGATATCATGGAATTGTGTGTATCAATGGGGGAGGTGAGTGTGGAGACAACATGTATAGGCGATGAATTGACTGATTTGTCACAGTACGTACGTGTTGTCGTACCAATGCCAATTGATTTAACTTTACGAGGTGAGGTTGGTTGTGGTGTTGCAGCGCTATGAGTGGGGGTTATGGTGCTGGCGGTATTAGTGATCATATAGGTTTGGCTGCTAACACCACTATCGGGTGTAGTCATCGATGATCGGCGCCCAAGATAACTACCGGAATTACAGCGTTCGGGTGGTGCATTGTTTGCCAAACGTAAAAGTGGACTTGCCAAAAGATTGGGTGATGAGACAGTTTGATTTTGTGCGATTTGTTGTGACTGCTGTTGTTGTTTCAATGTTGAGGTATTATTGCTGTTATTTGTCGTAGCAACATCACAACTGGGACGTCTACCAAGTCCATAATCATGTTGTTGATGTTGCACCAAATTCGTACGTGTTGAGATTATTGATGACAACGAAGAGTATGTGGAATTTGACATATTAATTGAATCATTAGTAGCTAATGCCAATGTTAAGATTTCATTCCTCGCTACTTTATTATAAGCATCATCATCATGCACACCATCAACCACATCGTCATCACCATCTTCATCATTATCGTGTACTATTAACTCTATAGTTTCCATTGCCTCGGTAATCTCTTCAATCTGTATAATGAAAAGAAATTATACAAATCATACATTAGCAGAATAATACATATTTTCTGAAAAATATATATACAGAGAAAAAAAGGGCTCCCTGTAAATTATCGAACAAATTGGAATGTATTTTTTTTCTGTATTTGTTCAATATTTTCACGCCTTTAAAGTCTATTTATTCTATTGTTTGTTTCATCATTTACTTTATTATTGAATTCTATTCAATTCGTATAATAATCAATACAATTCATATGTGTTTCATTGTTTAGACAATTGTCTATAGATTGTTGTTCGAACCATTTGTTTGGGTACTTCCACAGCTTCTTTATGCTCTTTATTGGTTATTTGTACAATATTCAATATGTTTCTTTACTTAGTTTCGAATTTCGTTTCATTTTTACATCAATTGTTATTTTTTCAATATATCGACATTCTATATTCAAAAAGTGCTAACTCAATATTGGACCAAAGAGAGTTTTTTATGTATATTATATGGAATACATATTCAACATGTTCAACATTATGCAATTAAAATTTTTTTTTTTCTTTCTTGAAAATTCGCTTTTCTGAGTTAGCATTTTTTGAATATAGCGACTCGATATATGTAGATATTTATTCGTTTATAAAATGTATATTGTAATACTTTCGCTTTCATTTTGCATTATATTTATTTAAGACATATTTCTACAGATACGTGAGTATATTTGGGGGTTTCATGAAATTATCTAGAACTCATATGCAAGTTTTAATTTAAGCCTGCAGGCAATTTTGTTATTGCATATACTCATGACAATTTTAAAATAAGTAACGAAAATATGACTCAGAATTTTAACAGAATTTAATCACGATTTTCTAGATAAGATATTTCGAAAATCTGATTTAGAGCAGCTTAATCCTTTAGAAAATTATACTCTGGTCCCTTGGTTAAAATTAAGTTTAGTCAGTGAAAACTATTGTAATCTACCCAGCTTATCCAATAAGCAGTCATATACGATTGTGGCAGAGTGGAAGTACTTACTTTGTGGGTAAATGCCTATTTATTTTTGTTCGACGAGATCCAAAAAATATCCAGTTACAAATGTGCTTACCAAACTTTCCCGGATTTAAACCCCACCTTAATATTTTTTTTTCATTTTGACTAGTCTATTCACTACTTCAATGCTCCAGTAACCAGCTATTTTAACGTGCTATTTGGAATGGTTTTTATATAAAATTATAAATAAAAAACTACTGATATTGTTTGTTTATTACTAAGTAATGTATGAAATAACTCATTACCAACATGTAATCTCTGACCATAATAGTCATCAAACTCAACCATACTGCTGGAATGGCATTTGTTGTTTCGGCAACAGTACATTGTGACGCATTTGCTTGATCGAAGTTCGATCTCATTCAATAAGTCAAGACATCGTTATGTTATTTATAGAGACACATTTAGGTAGGTCAGGTACGAACATAGTAAATCCCAAAATATTTAACTCATAACGTAGACCTTTCATATGACATATTTATGAAAACATTTATCCGACACCTTGCTATGGATATGTGGATGGAGTGCTGACTCACATACCTATCACTCATTCTGCATTAAGTTTTGTGACGTCAACTCTTTCCCTGCACTCTGTGTGGTCCTGTTAAGTTGGCAACCAGAATAGGAATCTTATCCGCAAATATTAATACCACCACCATTCCTTTAAAGAACGATATATGTTCCCGATATTTGAGTTTAAACAAAAACACTATGTCTACCCCAAACCTCACAAATAGTCAGTACGAGATGAATCCTGCGGGCCACTGGCTCCGTAGTACTAAAAAAGATAGGGATACTGGTTAAACTGCGTGTCAAATTACTCCGAGGAGTCATATCAATCCTCTAGTCTGATAGATTAGAAGTAGTCACCAAGGTGAGGGCAATTTGCCATGGGAACATGACCTAGGGGTAGGGCAGAGGAATGATAACAATGATCTGGAATGGAATTTAGAGCCCAAACATTAAAGAAGCGAAATATCTACCTTACTAGTGAAAGGATATAAGGAAATGCTATAGACTTCAAGACGAATGTTGTGTCTTTCAAGCGGAGATCTTAGCAATATATAAAGCGACGGAACTAACACTGGATCATGTCGTATTGTGGTTTGTAGTGTCAAGACTTTTAAGTATCAGTCGGTGCATTCTTGCGAAGTTGTAGAAGTACTCAGAGTTGATAAGACAGTTTACAATAAGGTTGCTTTGGCTACCAGCACACCAGAAAAAAAGGTTTGTATCTAGACGTAATTAGAAGAGACATTACAGGATAATCTTAAATGTAATCGGTTCCATTGCGCTCTTTAAGAAATCCATCTATAGTATGTTGAAAGCAAGATCCGCATATAAGGCTTTATGGAAAGTACTCGGTGTAAAAGCAACCGGAATACTTATTAAATGAAAGGGAATTGGTATATGAATTCTGATAGTATTAACATTTCATTGTCTAAAAATAGCTTTTACCAAACCATACTTTTGCAGGTAAGGAACGATATCTGCAAGGCTCATGAACGGTATCTGCAAGGCTTTATAAGCCAATCTATGGTAGATTTTGTAAGAATTTTTATTTCGTCTATCTCTTTTTCCTTCACATTTGGATTTTCCTTTATCTAGAATTATTTTTGGTCTTTTGGTTCACTGTATTGTTTAATTCCTTTAATTTATTTTCCTATCCCTTCTCTACATTTTTTACTAAAGAGGATCGTAATGGAACTGATCTCCAAGTAGAGTTCATGTTCATTTGTGCGGCCCTTCTAAACTAAGGGTTATGTCCTTTATACCAAATATTATTCCTTTCCATCCCCAAAGGTGCCAAAGGTTTTCGTTGTCGAGTATCTATCTTCTATTCCTCCCTTTTTGGAATGTTTCTCTTATCATCCATCATTTTCATCAGTGAATGGAAGATTATACTAATCTCTTCTACTGCTATATAAACCCTACGCCACAAAGACCACCAAATTCCCTAAGGAAGCTCAGTTTCATAGTATTTCTTAATGTTTAAGTGTTTCTAAAGTCTTGGATTAGGGTTCGTTGGGGTAATATTGCATTTAATGCCGGAGGAATTTCCCATAGTTTTTGATTTCAGATGGGCCATTTTGGATCAAAGTTTACTTCCACATTATTTACTTCCTCCTCAAAAGTCATTATAATTTAAACTAAACTTTTTACATTGCTAATTTTTAGTTGAAATTTTGCTGCGACCATTTTCAACGCATTCTTCTTCTTCCATTCAAAACTTTAGTCTTACCAAAGCTAAAAATTAATGTTTTAAATTCTACCAACTTAAACTTATAACTTTTACAAAACAATCTCTTAAGCAGCACTTAAAGCTAGTTCATTTATAAAATTGCATTTAAATAAATGCTTCTATCCTCTTAGACCAATATTATTTTCTTTTGAAAAAAAGGCCATAAAAAAATTTAAAAGTAGAAAGTATCCGTACATTTCATTCCTCTAGTATTAATTGTTTATATTTAAGTTTTTTAGAAGGAGACTTAAAATTAATTAATTTCAATTTTAGTGTTTTCTTTTATTATTATTTATTTTGAAATTATATTCAAAATAGAAACAATCACTTTCTTAAGACTTAGAAAACTTTCCATAAGAGTGAGTGTGTGTATGTGTGTGTGCAGTGAGTGAAATTGTCCTTAACACAATTTAAATGTGAAATTTTTTGTTATTTTTTATATTTAACCAATAAAGACTTTCAATTATTTTCGCTATAAAAATAATAAAAAAAAAATAAACTGCAAAACAATAAGATGAAGTTCAATTAGTTGTATTTTGTTTTTATAGATGTCAATAAAAAAAGTTATTTGAATATACTTGTAGCAACAATAACAACAGCAACAACTATAAATAAAAAACCACAAAATACACTTGTATTTATTTAAACAATTCTTTAACAAAAATTTCAATATCGAAAAAAACAAAAAAAAGTTGCTTAGGAGAATTTAAGAATGATCAGGAACGACTGGGAAATACCCTAAAGAATTTTTTTAAAACTAATGTTTAAATAGGTATTCGAAATTCAATATTTTAATACTGCTGTAGACTTTAATCTGGGCTATAGTGTAGAGTCTACCAAGACAAGGCTATAGCGAAGACTAAAGACTAGAATATAGAGTACAGATAATCTGCATAATGCTGTGGAATAGATTAAACTTTAAACTATAATAAAGACTATAGTATAGACCATAGCCTGGACTATTGTATAGACCATAGTCTGGACTATAGTATAGACCATAGTCTGGCATATAGTATAGACCATAGTCTGGACTATAGTATATACTATAGTCTGGACTATAATATAGACTATAATCTGGACTATAGTATAGATTATAGTCTGGACTATAGTATAGACTATAGTCTGGAGTATAGTATAGACTATAGTCTGCAGTATAGTATAGACTATAGTCTGGAGTATAGTATAGTATAGACCATAGTCTGGACTACAGTATAGACTATAGTCTAGACTATAGTATAGACTATAGTCTGGACTATAGTATAGACTATAGTCTGGAGTATAGTATAGACTATAGTCTGGAGTATAGTATAGACTATAGTCTGGACTATAGTATAGACTATATTCTGGACTATAGTATAGACTATATTCTGGACTATAGTATAGACTATAGTCTGGGCTATAGTATAGACTATATTCTGGACTATAGTATAGACTATATTCTGGACTATAGTATAGACTATAGTCTGGACTATAGTATAGACTATATTCTGGACTATAGTATAGACTATAGTCTGGGCTATAGTATAGACTATATTCTGGACTATAGTATAGACTATATTCTGGACTATAGTATAGACTATATTCTGGAATATAGTATAGACTATAACATAGACTATAGTCTGGAGTATAGTATAGACTATAGTCTGGAGTATAGTATAGACTATAGTCTGGACTATATTATAGACTATATTCTGGACTATAGTATAGACTATATTCTGGACTATAGTATACACTATAGTCTGGAGTATAGTATAGACTATAGTCTGGACTATAGTATAGACTATATTCTGGACTATAGTATAGACTATATTCTGGACTATAGTATAGACTATAGTCTGGGCTATAGTATAGACTACATTCTGGACTATAGTATAGACTATATTCTGGACTATAGTATAGACTATAGTCTGGACTATAGTATAGACTATAGTCTGGACTATAGTATAGACTATAGTCTAGTATAGACTATAGTCTGGACTATAGTATAGACTATAGACTGGACTATAGTCTGGACTATAGTATAGACTGTAGTCTGGACTATAATATAGACTATAGTCTGGACTATAATATAGACTATAGTCTGGACAATAGTATAGACTAAAATCTGGACTATGGTACACATTATAGTCTGGATTATAGTATAGCCTATAGTGTGGACTATAGTATAGACTATAGTCTGGGCTATAGTATAGACTATAGTCTGGACTATAGTATAGACTATAATATGGACTATAGTATAGACTATAATCTGGACTATAGTATAGACTATAATCTGGACTATAGTATAGACTATAATCTGGTCTATAGTATAGACTATAATCTGGACTATAGCATAGACTATATATACACTATAGTCTGGACTTTAGTCTGGACTATAGTATAGACAATAGTCTGGACTATAGTGAAGACAATATTCTGGACTACAGTGAAGACTATAGTCTGGACTACAATGTAGAGGAATATAGTATAAAATTTAGTCTGGATTCTTTTTTTAAAACAGTTGTACATACAACTATTTTTGTACAAATAAATAGTCTAACCAACAGTATCCAATTTTATTTTTGGACCACAAAGTCACTTGCAATTTCTATTTATTACTTGTTTATTATTGGCAAGAGGTATCTTTATCTTTTTTTCTTACTTTTCATATTACTCATACTGTGTGTTTAGTGTGGTATAGCCTCTGGCTGGGTGCTGTGTAGTGTTTGGGCTTACACACGCTTAAATTTGTATAGATTTAGCTGTTGTTGTTTTTTTTTATTGCCATAGCTTTCCTGCTACATTAAACAATTGTCGATGTAAAAATCTAGCAATTACCCCATACAGACAGAAGAATATCTGTGTTTTAAGCTGATTTTTATTTTTGTAGCCATTGAATGTATTTACTATTAATATGAGTACTATACACGTACAATAACAAATAAGGCGACAGCATAAGATAATAATATACATATAACAATAGCAACTACTGCTGCTATTTTATTACTATATTTATCTCTATAGACTACACTTGATCATTCTCAGACAGCTATTTGTGTGTGGGGGTTATTAGAAACGGTACTCATCGTATAATCATGATCAGAGGGGTCGTTAGAAAGTAATTAATGATACTTGTAAGCC